AAAGAGCTTCTGCAACGTGAGCTGCCCGCCGCAGAGTCACCGCTGCAGGGTGGGGGCCTCCGCACAGGCGCCTGCACCGGTCGGGGTCCGCACAGAAGTGGTGGGGACAGGGGTCCACCTCACCGGGGGCTCGTTGGGTGCGAGAGCCCATCGTGGGCCCAGGGGTCGTCCTGGCCCGTTTGTGGCCAAAGGAAGCTGGCTGCAGGGCGGAGGGAACAAACGTCCGCTGAGGCGCGTGCCTGCGGTTGCCTGCGCACCCTGTCGGCTAGACTCACCTTCAAGGAACTCTGGGGGTTTCAGCAGCAGTTAAGTGATGACAGTGACAACCGCCTCCAGGCTGGATTCCCTGGAAGGGATGAGCGGGGAGGGGGAGCCGGCAGCTCCCGGAGCCACCGCTAGGGGGCGCTGCAGGCAACTCCTCCGGGCTGCTGCCCAGTGGACCCGGGAGCCACAGCACGCGGGTGCCCGCCGGAGGGCCGGGCGTGATCTCGGCGGGCAGTGCCCTGAGGAGGAGGGCACTCACAGCGGGGCGTCTGCCAGCACCCCCAACAGCAGGGAGGACATGTCCTTCGCAGAAAGGGGCCCGCCGCATCCTTCTCTCCACTCCTCAGGAAACAACGGGGTTCGGGAAGCTTGCGTGGGGCTCCTTCCTCTGCCGTCTTGGAGAGCAGGAAGGAGGAAGGGCCAGGGAGCAGGAGCAGTGACAGCCCTGTGTTTAGGGGGCACAAAAATGCACCGAAAGCTCAGCTTGAGCTACTGTAAGGAATAATTATGGCTGCTATTTTTGCACATTTGTTTAATAACGTTCATTTGGCGACAGCCTAATGTTATAACATCCTCTCCCACGCAGGTGGCTTCAGCTCCCTAGTCACGGGAATCCATTAGCATTTTTCCTGTGGGGCTTGTGCCTTGTGACTCAGAGCTGGAGGGGGCTTCAGGAAAGGCCCCTCTCTTGCCGGGGTGGAAGCAGTGGGAGTGTCAGCTCTTGGCAAGGTGGCCCTTGGTCTGGGAGAGCATGACACTCACCTGCCTGGGAGTGGCCTTCTAGCAGCTGAGAAGTGGCCATTCTTGAGCCATTTATCAGGGCGAACTTCTTAGGGGAGAGCTTGGGATGTTTAGTGACTGGGGGCAGAGAAAGTGCAGAGGCCAGACAGGACAACAATGACGTGGACAGTGACTCAGGCTTAGCTGGGAAATACAGATTGTCTCTGAGTGAAGAGTGAGGGCTGCCCAGCACGGGGTGGCCAGTGGGTGCTGTTGTGGAAGTAACTCAGATGTCCATTCCCCGGGGACGCACCCCTCACGGGACACATGCAGCTCACACCTCACGGAGAATGGGTAGGGGCGGTGTGCCCAGACAGGTGTGCCCCAGCTCACCCCAGGAAAGAGCGGCTCTTTGACATTTTGCAGTCACCAATAAAATACTGGACCCGGCCCTCAGTAAAGTCACAAGGGAAAGGCCACCTGCGGTTGATGGCTTCCTGAAGATGATCAAAGCACCCAAAGTAAGGGGTTGGAGAACTTCTGGGCTGGTGGACACACCATGTGCCAGGAAGGAGAAGACCCCAGCTTCCCAGAGACAGAAGTTCTGTGCTCAGGGGCCCCCCTTTCCTTGCCCTTTCTAGTTTTCTATGGGGCATTCGCCGGTGTCCTTTATCCTGTCCTTTTTCATCTAACGCACCGGAAATGTGAGTGAGTGAGAGACTTGGTGAACTGTTCTAGCAAATGGTCCAATCCAGGGAGGGGAATTGTGGGAACCTCCACTTTGTAGCCAAGTTGGACAGAAGCATAGATCACCTGCAGACCTCCTTCTTGCAAAGGTGTCTTAATTGGGGGAGCAGTCTTGTGGGCCAGACCCTTTCCCTTATGGGGGATATGCTAACTGCAGCCAGTCACTGAATTGAGATGAAGGGTAAGACAAGGAGTGCGGTGTGGGAAAACCCCCTCATATTCTGGTAGCAGAAGTATTGTGTGTGAGAATAATGGGGTAAAGGTGAGCTTTTCCCACATTATGTACATCCTGAGTAGAGGCAGAAGATGAGCAAATAAAGAGCTTTTAGAGAAGTGATGCAACACTGATTTTCCCACTCACAATGATCTTTGCATTTCCATCCATCTTTGTATGGGGACATAGGCTATTTCTCTGACTAGAAAGTGGGTGCTCGGACCATCCTGGCATTTAGGACTACGGATACCAGCCATGTGAGACAGGAGTTGCAGAACATGCTGAAGTCATTACCTGTGTGAACGCCAGCTGTCCTAACTCAGCAGTCTCGATGGCATCCTCTGTATGGGATTCAGGGGAGATTATGTTTGCAAAGCATCTACTGTGTCCCAAGCATCTCAGGCCTCACAGACATCTTGAAGAAGGCAGTTTCTGATAATGCCCCCTGCTGGATTTGAAGCTGAAGTTCTGGTGTCTAAGAATCTGTGAATTCAATATGGCAAGACCCTTTTACCCACACTATGCCTGACCTCACAGGACACCGAGGAATCTTGATCATAATTTAGAGCGGATGGAGTCCATGGTCTTTAGCTAAAACCTCTCATGGAGTTTGTTTCATTCGGTCTGTTTGCCATTATTGATAAAAATAACTTAATCCAAAGAAGACTTTAGTTTATTTTTAAGAAATTGACTCCATCGTGTTTTCACACAGATTCTTTTGTGTTTGAAATGTGGAGGTGGAGTGTGAGTGTGGGTGGATTTAGACAAAAATTGACCCACACCCAGTCTGCAGAGAAGTCTGTGATATAGGATGTCTTTATCCTCCAAACAGAAACCTCCAAAGCCCTAAAGCCTTGTTCTTTTTCCAATTGCTCAGTGCAAGATGAATTATTCAAAGACCAGGGATGACGATTGGTTTAAACGCTGAAGCCGCTGCCCTGAGACTGCAAGGTCATTTCTAAGCATCCATCAGGCCTTCTCCGGGCCAGAAGCTCCTCCCTTGGCCCTGATGGTGAGATAAAGAGTACATTGGCTCCCCAGCTGAGCTTTGCTCTTTTCTTCCTCAGAGACAGTGAGTACCAGCTCACTGGGGCAAGGGCCCTGGGCAGAGAGGCTGGGCACGGGTTCCAGGGCTGGACGGAGGTGGCCTGTGTGGACCGGGATGAGGTGAGGATGCGGCCTGGGCCTCCGGCATCTTCGGTTGGCCACACCCTTCTGTTCTGCCAGACAAGTGAGCCAGGAAGTCTTGGAGGTGATGGTTCCCCTCTGACGCCAGTCACCAGACAGATCCTGAGTGAGACCTGTCTTGCTAAGCCCAGTCAACTCCTAAAACTGTCAGGTGTGATGATGACGCCAATTGTGATTATCTTAGACTACTGAGTGTGGGGAGAGCTGTTAAGTGCTGACTGGAGCTAGTGGTCTCCCCTGCCCCTTGCCAGCTGGAGTTGAGGAATGGGGCTTGTGACTCATTTTGGTCAATACTCAAGAGGTCGATTCTTCTGGGGCTCCTTCCAGAAAAGTTGTCTTTGTTCCAAGGAAGTCTGACAAGTGACAGTTGTCTCTTCCTTGTGATGTTGCTGCCTGTTGAGGGGACACTTGGGGTTGCTGCCGCCATCAAGCCACCATAACCCAAGGACGGCACAATCTTGGGGTGGAAGGGACATGGTTCCTTGAGACATCACTGAATCACTGAACTGGCCAGTCCCTGAGCTCACACCCACTCCTGGCCTTCCTGGTGTGAATATAATAAATACTTTTATTGTTCAGAGCAGACTGGTATCAAAAGTGTCCCATCTGCCACAGGGAATAAGCCAGAACACAGCCTGCATCCGCTCTGGAGAGGGAGGCGCTCAAGGGCTAGGTCAATGGGCAATGGAGAGTCAGCTAATTCCTGACCCCTCTCTGACCCCCTCACCCCCAACAAACAGAAAACCAGCCTTGCTCCTCTGCTGTTGAGGAGAGAGCAAAGGGGTGGGAAAAGCCCTCCCAGGCCCTGAGCAGGGTGAAGGCTGGGGAGACCAGAGCCAGGGCACATGGGGCTGCATGTGGTGTGGCTGAGCCCTCGCTCGTAGTGAGGGTGGGGGACCCACCTGTCTGGGTCCTGCACAAAATCACGTTCAGAGGAACCTACTGGTGCGCCTGCTCAAGACACGGTGTCTGTGTTTTAGAGGCTGGTAAGTTCCCGGTGGTCGTGTTCGCATGTGAGGTGCCTTTATGGAGGGGGACACAATCCAAGACTGGAGCAAAGGGGCTCTGTGTCCCTACCAGGTCGCAGCTGGAGGGGCAGCTTGAGGAGGAGAGAGCTCCAGGCCTGGGTGTGCCGCCTCATCCCCGACCCCCAATGCAATTCTCAGGGCAGCAGGCCAATTCCCCGTCCTCTCTGTCCTTTCCTCCCTGGCCATGGTTAATCGACTTGGCTGGACCATAGGCCGAGGGACTGAGTTCAACTGTTTCTATGAAAGCGCCTTTGGAGGAGGCGAACAGTTACATCAGGACCTAGCGCGAGTAGCCCTCCAGCGGGGGTGGGCCACGTGTCATCAGTGGAAGCCCCGCGAGAGCGAAATGGGCCCCCTGAGCAGGGGCCTCTGCCGGCCTGCGGACCAGGGCCGCCTCGGGGTTAGGCCGTGCCGAGTTCCTGCTAGCTCGCCAGCCAGGTTGGTTCTATTTCTCGATTTCACTTAATTTATGGGGAACAGAGAGTTACTCCACACGGGGTCCTGGGCAATACCCCACAGGCACAGTGAATCTGCCCCAGCTCCTGCCCCTCGTCAGCTTTGGCAACAGACCACCCTTGGAGGCCCCCAGGAAGGGGATGGTGCCCAGGGGTGGGGGGAGCTGTTCCCTGCGTCAGCCCTGCAGCCAGGGAAGGGGGCGATGAGTGGACAGAACCAACATCCCAGTGGCTGGTGGCCCCAAGTGATTTTGTTCCATAATTCCTCAGGCTTTGGATAGGAATCTGCCCCTCCCATTTTTGGGAGATGATTGAAAAACACTCCTCAATGTATTTTCTTTTAACCGCTCGAGGAAAGAAGCGATCAGAAAGAGTATCAAGGAAGGAGCCCTAAGGTCTGATTTCCGAGTTGAGTTTCTGTACTTTAATAGCTGATACAAACCTTTTGAGTATAGAGAGGCTGCAAAGAAGCCTCAGTTCTGAGATGAATTTATAGAAAGAAAGAAAACAGTGACAGTTACACAATTATTGGTACAGCCGTCTCCCCCAAGGAGGGACGAAAATGGCCCAGACCCCAGACTGCTAAGGTAAGTGTCCATTCATGTTCTGGGCATGGGGGGCGGTGGGACTCAGCAACTCAGCATGGGGGCTGAGAAAAGCCCGGCCAAAGGACGTTGTGACAACCGTCACTGAGGGGTGCATTCTAGGTCTCCGTGTGCACAGAAGTGAGCCTGGCACTGGGCCTGGGTGGGGAGGAAGGGAGCATTAGGGACGAAGGTCACCTCGGGAGCAGATTGCCCTGACAAAGACGGGACCCAAGCCCCTCTGAGTACCCATCCAGCCACACTCCCCACTTCTGGGGGGACACGGCTTCTGTATCTTTCTGTCCACAGCAGCCAGGAGACCCAATGGAACACAGAGTCGGGGCTTGCCACTGGCAATCGGTTTACTGGCACGGGATGAAAAGCCACACGGGAGCCATCTGGGACTTTCTCCATGAGGCCGAATCGCTAGAGTTGGGAGTGTGTGGGGTGGGGTTGGAAGTAATTTGGGCTCAGCCCCTCAGACAGAGGGGGAGGATCTACGTGGGTTGGCGGTTGACCTGGGACCAGAAAGCAGCCTCTTCCTTTCCCTTCTTGTGCCCAGAAGCAAGCAGGATAATCCAGCTATTCAGGGTGCCCTCACCCCCACCCCCCAGCTCCTTCATCCCCACTTCCTGTGGTGAAACCCTCCAAACCATCAGATTGTGACCATTTGGAGAGCAGGTCTTTAACCAGGCGATGCTGGGGACAGACGGCCTCCTGGGAGGGAACCTGGACACAGGGACGTGTGAACAGAGGCATGGCCACGCGAGGACACCCAGGGAAGCCAGCTGCTGGCCAAGGAGAGGCCTTGACCTCAGGCGTCTGGCCTCCAAGGACCATGAGAAAATGAAAGTATGTTGTTTAAGGCCCTGACCTGTGGCTTCTCGCGAGGGGGCACTGACCCGGGGACCCCCCAGAGTGCATGTTCTGTACTGCTTTCTGGGGCCCTCAAGCCCCCACCCCCACCCGTGACTGGTGCAGTCACAATCTACCGACAGCCGAGAGCTCAAGGCCAGAGAGAGAAGCTGGCCCGGCAAGAGTGCACTCCAGAGAGCCAGGAGGTGGTACCCCTTCAAACTGCAAACCCCCAAAAGTACAAGCTGAGGAGAGGTTCGTAAACTGGGGGCCCCACCTTTCAGTGACCCTTCCACACCACCGTGGACTGCCCCATGGTGCTTCCTACGCCCAGGTGAGGTTTCCTGCCAGGACAACGGGCCTCTTGTGGGCATTGTGCTGCCCCGCATTCTGGAGGTTTCCATTTGCCAACGTGTATCCCGCTCCAGGAAGCACCTAGGCGGGAGTGAGCTGGCCCAGTGCTCACAGCCTCCTCAGGGTCCGGTTTACTTAGGCTCAAGATGGCGTCGGCAAATCTAGCTCCAAATCCCAGGCAGCCGCATAGGTGGGGTAGACCTGTCTGCATCATTCGGTTTTAGGGTCTTGCACTGAAAGTGTTACCCCTGGAACAGGGAGGGTATCCCCGGGGCCGGGAAATGAACACATCAGCCAGATCCTGGAATTCTCATGGTCGAGTCACTTCCTGGGGTTAAGGCATTAAAGGTCCCTTTCAATGTGTCCCCGAGGGGCCACCCCCAGTAAGTCACCACCCACCATTAACACCCCTGTGACTTGTCAAGTCGCCATCAGACCCACACTGGGCCTGAAAGGTCCTGGTGGCTGAGCTCTGCAGGGAGAAGCTGTGGGTGGGGGAGGTGGAGAGCAAGCAGACACAGCGGGATGGAGGGACAGAGGTGACGAAGGGCGCAAGACTCCCCAGGGAGCACAGCTGAGGGCTCTGCACCAGCCACTTCCCGAGGCCAGGCCGGGGAGTGGACGCCAGTTGGCAGGCGTGCAGTCCAGCTGGGTCTGGGCAAGAAACTGGCATCTACACGCTGGCGTTGGCCAGGCACCATGAGGTCGGGTATACAGGGTGGACACATGGCTGGGACACCCACCTCTCCCGGGAAAGGGGCAGCACTGGCTCCAGACATTGCTGATGGGCATCAAGTGGAGCGTGTGTGTGTGTGTGGCCACACTCGGGCTCTCAGCCAATCAGCTTGCCCGCTGGCTCCAGCCTCCTGACGCCACCCTAGGGCGGGCAGAAGCGCTGTGGGGGTGGCAGGGGGACACAAGGGCCAGGTAGCTACAGCAAAGCTTGGGGACAGCCTGGGCCTTTCACCGGGGGCCGGCAGGGGGCGCGGGAGGGGCTGTCCGTCTGTCTGTCCGGCCGTGGAGGGAGGCGGCGGGCTCAGCACGGGGAGGAGGACATCTGGTCATAGTCGGGGCACTTGAGCAGGGCTGGGTAGTTGCTGCTCATCTGCAGGGAGGCGTCGCTGGAGATGTCGGAGGGGCTGCGGCCTCGGACCCAGGCGTCCGGGTGCAGGAACTGGCCCGAGTAGTCGGAGCAGTTGCTGAGCCTCGGGCGGTAGAAGCCGGGGTGAGGCCTGTACATGTCCTCTGCGGTATACCTCTTCATGAACAGGTACACGGACATGACCCCAGCGCTCTGCAGTGAGGGCGCAGAACGGAGCTCAGCAGGGGAGGCCTGGCCGGCCCCTGCCCAGCCCAGTCTGCAAGGGACTGCAGGGGGTCAGGGGCGGGGTGAGGGGCAGGCACAGGACATGTGCAGGTGAGCGCGACATAGCCGGGGTGGAGAAGGTAGGTCGGGTGGGGGCCCACGTGCCCTCCTCCCCCTGCGGATCCCGGGCACTGCCCGCTCCCCACCAGCCTGCCCAAGGGTTTACCTCTGTTAAAAGGAAGGAGATGGCAGAGAAGGCGAATGACCAGCCGTACTTGTAGCTGAAGTAACTCTCTGCGTCCTTGGTCCTGTTGAGCAGCTCGTCGTTGATGCTGGAGATGTAGAGCACCAGGCCCACCACCAGAGACAGGCCTGGGTGGAGGAGCGCGCTCAGCCGGGGGCCCGGGAGGCAGCTGGCGGGGCGCCCTCCCCTTGGGATTCAGGAAGAAAGCGCTGGCCTGGGGTGACCATGCTCTCAGCGGGCCCCTCCTCCTGAAGACCCTGCTCCGTCCCAGGTAAGGACTCTCCTGTTCTCACTCCAACCAGAGCTCACCAGACTCACCCCTGACGTGTGCGCCTGAGCCCTACCTCGGGCGTCTGAGTCACCTGGCCTGAATTATCTGCAACACCTCCAGGGGCCACTAATATGGACCACTGAGCAAGTGCATAACTTCTTGCCAAACAGCATAAACTAGGCTTCCTGGGAAGAGGCAGCCGGGCCGGTCTCCAGGGCTGGGTGGGGGCCAAGTGGCCTGTGGTCTATGCAGCCACCCACCACGGGGTGTGGCCTGACAGATGAGTGGCAGCAGAGGTCAGCAGGGCAACAGAGTTCACACAGACTCTGGCCAGCGTTAAGCCAGGGGTCCAGTGGGGCCCAGGCTGCTGCTGCTGCATGCTGGCCTGGGCAGAGTTCCTGTCCGGTAGGGGCTGTAATTGAGTCAGCACATAATTAGTTACTGTGCTTTGAGTTGTTCGGGTTTCATTCCATTCACACGATTGCACCAGGGCATCTTGAAAGATGAGTGTTAAAGGAAAATAGGTGTGATTCAAGCCTTCCTTGGCACTTAACATGTGTGAGCCTCTCCACTCGCTCTTGTTTTCATTAAAATAGTTTCATGTGGTCCAATCAGTCTGAGGTCTCTGATCCTGTAGCTCACTGAGAAAACTCAGTGCGTCAAAGTTACTGCATAATCTTGATTATTGCGAAATTCCTAGAAAAATAAAGGAATCTGTTCCTCATAGGCTAGGTGGAAATATCACCAGGTAGAGTGGGAACTGAGGACACATCAATAAATTATTGATGGGTAACCTGCACCCAAGAATTGATTATCCTTTATCCATCCATCCATAGATACAACTATCCACCCCCACCCTCCCACCC